TCATGTAAATGTGAGTACTTCTAAATGATTCATGAGTTTACCGTTTCTTCTAGGCATCACCTCAATGTCCTCCTCACAGCCGCTGGCTAACATCGCTGGATCCCCCGTCATCTCTGCCCCAAACACTCTGGCCACACAAGTCCCTGCAGCCACCGGGGCCCAACCCTGAAGCCACTTCATCACCTGTGTTTATGTGTGCTAATGGCCATGTCTGGTCTATCTCTTACTGGCCCAGGGCCATGGCTCCCCTTTTATGTTGAAAATAACAAAGATTTAAATTACTTTTTGACATTCACTTATATTTTGACACCTGGACTTGACAGAAATGTATTGTTGCACCTGTCAGGATTATTCAGATTAATTTGGGTGTGTTATTTGATGATACTATTGTCTAGAAATTCTAATATGATGTAGACATGAACAGAATGGATAATAAAATTTATTTTGTATGTTCCAAATATACAGTCTTGCTTGAAACTGTTTGATGGGGATCCTGCTGTATTACACTGTGAACCTTTACATAATTTCACAACACAGAGTCAGGCATTTGGTGTGCCCCACCTAACAGTGCTCGCTGGTTGCACACGATGTAACGTGCAGGAGTTGTTGCTGTTTTGAAGTTATTAGATGCTGTCATTTGTTAATCGGACTTTTGTAGATATTCTACAGCTACTGTCAGGTTGCATGCACCCAATGCTGAGTATCACAGGGTCAATAGTTTGCCAATTTTATGTTCTTTCACTTCTGTACGTGTATGTATGTGTTTGTTTTTTATGAAGTCTCTTACACATGATTTTGATTACATAGAAAATTTTGTAAGTTTTTGTTTTATGTTGGAAGGGTCATCACCTACAAAAACAACTTCAAAAATAAACAATTTAAACAGGGTTTTGCAGCCATTACATGTTATTGAGTATGTTGGCTAGTATGCACTGGCGATCTAAAGCAGTATAGTATAATTAGTGTACCCACCAGATACATTTTCTTTGTTAATGTAGTGTTCAGAGTGGTGCTAAAACACATCTATTAGTGTTTTGTTTATCTTGAACAGTGAATGAATGCGTGACTGCTTTTTTTTCACCATTTGTACAACTCAAAAAAGAGCATGCGGATCTAAACAGATTTTGGAGCCATGAAGTGTACAGACTTCTAGCCAGCTTGAAAAGAATAATAGCTGAATGTGTGAATAAGCGCAGAGAACTGTATTCTTTTGTCAGTTCTCATGAAAATAATTTTAGTATATGTACACCCAAGACAGTTTGAGCTATAAGTGGAAGGTGAGTCTACATGACTGATGTGTGTTTTGTTGGGGGGAAAAATGAAGACAAACCGGCCATTTAAGCATACACATATACACGACTCCTGCCATTATGGAAATGGACGTAAGCCAAGAGGTTCTATGTCGGTTATGGCGTTACTTGTACTTCTACTATCTTAGGCAGATATTGAATAGGGCCTACATGTAAAAACTTACAACTCACTATTAGCAGACCAAAGCCATGCCACCTTAGATGCAGACAAACTGCCATCATTTTGTTTTTACTTAGCCTACTCTATTTAAACAGGTCAAAATTCCTTTTGACGTTAGCAAGTTATTTAGCCAGCCAGACCCGGCGAAAACGGGGGTAACATTGTAACCGACCACTTCCATACTATAGAGCTACATTTTAGATGCCATAAATCGCCTGCCCTGTGGTGACTCAACACGTTTCTCGTGGTTACATTGTTTTTGGTGAGCCTCTGGTAAAAAAAATAACACATTTCTACACTATTTTGCAGTTATTAAATGAAGAGGAGGATGCCAATGTGTGAATTGTATGATGTTGTAAGTGATTCAATTATTTGGATTATTTAAGATGGCATACTAACAGCACAAAATGCAAGTGTAACCAATGTAAAAGAAACCACAGTAACGTCTTGTAACTGTTCGATTGAAACCACACCAAATCCCGATTAATCTGTATTAATTGTTTAAACAGAGTTGATATACTGTAGTGGAAAATGGGTACTGTCTCTTTAAGACATTTCTGAGACGCTAGTCATTGCTTTAAGTTGTCACAAATTGTTCTATTGATATGTGTATTTATGGGTACGGGTTTTAATTAAGAGACGCTATTGTTAGGTATTTTTAGTCAGATAGAAATTGGATAGATACTTTATGTATTAGAAATGTTTAGTGTAGATAGGATGTCTAGTTAGACTGTTAAATGCTTAGGCATGCTTATGAGTTTCTACAGGGTACATCTGGTCAAGGATAACTAGTATGGAGATAAAATACTATCAAAAATGTTAAAAATGCGTGATTAACGTTTTGTCTGTAACAAGCGATTTGTGTGTGTGTGTGTGGGTGTGT